TCAGAGTGTTGTTTGAGGGCTCTCCCTGGTGGCGCAATGGGTTAAAGCACTGCATTATGAAACCCTCCCAAGCCACTGCAGCGTGAGTTCAATCCCCAGCCAGGGAGCTGACCCATATGGCATAGCAGGGCTCTTCTGACCCGCCCGCTGCTCCCCTCAGCAATGCGCTTTGTCAGTTTGCCTGTTCTGCTCCCTACTCTGTCTCTGGTGAATCCTTTCACCCACCACACCTCTGGCCTGTACCCCAATTCTGTAATCATAAATAAATCTTTAAAAAAAAGAGTGTTGCTTGAGGTTCACTACTAAATCCCAGGTAAATGAAATTAAAATTAACTGTAACTCTTCCAAATGCTTTGATTTAAGAAGCAGTAGAGTGACTACAAGCAGACTATATATATATATATATATATATATATATATATATATATAGCCTTCATCTCTTTTAAACCAGCATTCTTTTTGAATACTTCCACAGATGTATAATCTCAGTACAGTGTTCTGAGAGAATACTGTATGTATATAAAAAGAGTTTTCTTCTCCACTTGAGAAATATCACCTGGGAACCAACTCCCCTGTTTTAATACAGTGAAATATTGTTACAGCAATGCAAAAAAGAAAATCATGTAATTTGAAACCTATCTTGTTGGTAGTATGGAATAGAGTTGAAATGGTATTTGATATACACTCTTTAAAAAAAAAACAAATATGATAAATTACTTATATCCAACTCAGAAGTGAATACTAAAACTTTACAGTAGAGATTCTTAAGCTGTCTTGAACTCTGCAGTCAGACCCCACTTTCTGAATGAGGAAGGCTGTCAGATGAGAAGGAAATAGTTATTCCTAGTTACAAACCCAAGAGTTCTCCTAAACAATTTGTAACCATTAATCACAAGAAATTGGGGAAATCCTGCTTGCTCTCACACATGCTCTCTCTCTCTACACACACAAACACACACACACACATACGTGTGTGTGTGTGTGTGTATGTTGACATGATTTAGGAATAGACAATAAGGTAGAAAAAAAGACTTTAGAAGACCTTGGCACTGTTATCAATATCATGTTAATTACCATGACTAGAGAAATCACATGAGATATTAGAAAATGTCAAACACGAATGAAAATATATTTAAGTAGACATTACACAAAGATTCAATAAATACATGAAGCAATCAGTATCATTAGTCATCAGGGAAATGCAAATTAAAACAATGAAATAGTATTAAAAGCCAACAAAATAGCTATTATTAAAAAACTGACAGTAATAAATGTTGATGAGGTTGTGGAACAAGCAAAATTCTCATACTTTGTTGATTTATGAGCAAAATGGTAAAATCATTTGTGGGAAAGGTCTGCTAGCTTTTTATGAAATAAAATGTAAACCTCTTTCAAGTGAACCAATAATTCTTCTCTGAGTTATTTATGCAAGAAAATGTAAACCATTTGAATGAGGTTGTTCATTGGTGCTTTATTCCTATTTGCCAAAACCTGTAAATAGTCTGGCTGCCCACCAACAGAACAGATAAGCTGTGGAATAGCCATATGATGGAATACTACTCAGCAATAAAATGGAACTACGAATGCATGCAACCATAGATGATTCAAAAATATATTATGTGGAAGATGACATACAAATGGGCCCATTTGAAGTTCTACAATTATTAATATATAGAGGGAAAAAAAACAAGATGAATGATAGCCTTTGCTGAGGATGCAAGATTTACTGCTAAGAAACATAAAGGAAACTTCTAAGGTGACGGTAACACATTATAGGCAAAATGCCCATGTGTGCATTTGTCAGTGCTTACTTTACAAGTTAATGTGTACCTCTCATTATGTGTACATTTTGTCTCAAAGGGGGAAAAAATGTAAACAAGCTTTGGGTTCCAATTAATGACTTGTGTAATGAAATATTTGATACCTGTCACTTACTTTGATATATAACAAAATATACAATGAACTGGTAGATGAATAGCTTGCAATGAGATAATCCAAATATTCAAGCATGTTAATTCTGGATAGGTATTCACGGTAAAGTTTTTTGAATTTAAAATTATTCTCGTAAAATTTGAGGGGAGGAGGTTTATACAATTTATTTGTAAAATAGCAAAAGATTATCAGTAAGTATGCTTTCCTTCCATTTCGTATTTCAGCCTTTCAATTTTTCTCTCTTGATGCTAGTACCATTACTAATGTCCAGAGATATACTTCAAAGACTAGATAGAAGGATATAGAGCAACAGATATTTTCTGCTGTGTTTTTTTTTAGAAAGCTATTTTTCATTAAGTTGTTATCAATCAATAAAAGATCTTTAATAGAAAGTAGAAAAAGGATATCAACAAACTATATATAAAATGAATGAAAAATACAGTTAACAGTTAAGGTAGAAATTTTTCGTGGTAACAGTTTTAGCAGTATATAAAATATATAACAGATTTATCAGTATATACCATATGACTCACACAATTAAGTATAGAATTCAATTATTTTTTAGCATGTTTACAGAGTCTTGCAACAATCAAGTTTAGAACATTCATAACCCCTATTACTTCCAGTATCCCCAGCTTTCCAACCCTAAGCATCTTAACTAGCCTCTATCTTTAATAACTTACCTACTCTAGACATTTTATATAAATGTGAACACACAAGCATACAAGCAGGCTTTAGTGACTGGCTTCTTAGAACACCTAGCTTATATTCCAGGTTTACCAGCATGGGTCAATACTTCGCTTCACTTTACGGTCAAATAATATTCTATCACATGGCTACACTACATTTTGTGTATCATCCATTAATCAATGAACATTTGGGGTTACTGTCAATTTGGGGCTATTATGAATTATTCTACTATAAATATGTATGAATTTGTTTCTTTTGGGTATACACCTAGGAGATAAACTACATTAGATGCTGATTATTCCAAGTTTAACTTTTTAAAGAACTGCCAAACTGTTTTCTAAAGAATTTGCACTGTTTTTACATTCCACTGACAGTATAGGACGATTCTGATTTATTATTTAATATTGTTCACCTTTTTTACTACAGTCACTTTATGAGTATGAAGTGGTACTTACAATGATTTTGGCATTTCCTTGATGACTAAAGACACTGAGGATCCTTTCACATACTTATTGCCCACTTGAATATCTTCTCTGAAGAAATATGGAATAACATCCTTTCTCCATGTTTTAATTAAGTTGCCTTTTTGAGCTTTATGAAGCTTTAAAAATATACTCCACATTCAACTTTTTCATCAGATAAAAGATTTGCATATATTCCTTACATTCTGTAAGTTTTCATTTTCTTGACAGTGTCCTTTGACACACAAAAGTTTATACTGAATAATTTTGATGAAATTCAGTTTATCTTTTTCTGTGATTGGTTGTGCTCCTGGAATCATATCTAAGATATAGTGCGTAATCTAAGATATATTCCTCTGCTTTCTTTTAAGAGTCTTATAGCTTTGTATTGCTTATTTTTTATTTTATTTTATTTGCATAGAACTGGGTATAGGCTGGAAGTGCAGCAGGTGAGAAGATTCACCAGAGACAGAGAGAGCAAAACAAGTGGATTTACTGAAATACTGAGCATTGGGCAAGATAGGAGAGGTCTGTTGTGCCATATGGGGTCACCTCCCAGAGAAGCTTCGCTTCCCTTTTTTTAATTTTAATTTTTTTTTACAGTTTCACTTAGATATTTTGTGTTTGTCTTTTTTCATTGTTTTTTGGTGGGCAAAAGGGGACAGGTTGAAGGGAGACAGAAAACAAAATCAGAGAGAAAAGGAAAAAAAAAATGACTTTTCCCACTCTCCACCATCCCCTGGCTCCAGGCCTGAGTTGATGAGGATCTGGGGGTTGAATTCAGACATTAGGGGTGACAGTGCTGATACTTAACCCTAGGCCACCAGGGAGGCCCACCCTCTCTGAGTCTTATAGTTTAAAATTTTACCTTTAGAATTATGATCCATTCTGAGTTTATCTGTGTATATGATATGAGGTAAGAATGCAACTTCATTTTTTTTCACATGTCAGTATCAATTGGTCCACCACCATATGTTGAAAAGGCTCTTTTTTCCCCTATTTAATTGTCTTGGCATTCTTGTTGAAAAATAATTAACCAAAAATACAAGTGTATATTTTTAGATTCTTGATTCTATTTCACTTTTTATACATGCATGTAAATTTTTTAATTTTTTATAACCTACCCTTATGCCACAATTTCTTGATTATTGTTGCTTTATAATTTATTTTGATACATTTCTTACTCTATTTTTCACTGAATATAGTCTGAAATAATACGCTGTTCTACACAATATAAAGAGGGTGACACTTTGTGTGATAATCTGTACAAAATAAGTTTGCAGAGATTAGTCAAAAGAACTGGATTTTAAATTTTGATACATACTGTTATTGGCTCTTCAAAAAGGTCGTACCAATATACATCCCCACCAGTAATATATAAGAAAGTGTTTACTCTATGTCTTCTTCAGTGTAATATCAAATTTTAAAATTCTAACTTTTTGTTCTTCTCAGTTGTGATAAACCCCATCTGGCTAATCATGCCTGTAAAGAATTTAATTACTAATAAAATGTTTAAAATCAGCATCTCCATTTGGAGGAATTTACTCCAAATAGTTTAAAGATATGTACAAAGTAGTGTTAATTAGTATAGAAAAAAATTACTGTATACTAGATGCTAATCAACAGGAAAGTGGTTAATTAATATATTCACTAAACAGAGTATATGCAACTATAAAAAGCTATAAAAACAGTCTATAGTCATGTAAAAATACCTGTCAACTTCTAAAAGTACTTTACAAAATTGTACACTGTTTATAACTACTTTAAAATTATTCAACATATGGAAATGTTCATATATAAAATGACCATAGGTTATTTTTTCTTTGATTTCTAAACTTTCTATAACTTTATTGAAATAAGCTTGTAATTAAAAAATATGTTAATAAGTATATTAAGTTTCATTACAAGTATACTTACTGTGATTATGCCAATTAGTTGAGTATAAAAGAGTCCAGTAATTCCAACCAACATAGCAATGCCCGTAAAGGAAGCTAGTCTCATGATTGCCAATTCATGTCTAACAATGAAGAGGTCCTATAAAAAAGACAAAATAAAAATCTTCAAAATAATTTCTAAGAGTTGCAATTATAAATGAGAATTGAGTCAAAATATTTCCCCTTATTATTTTAAAAGAACTTCATCCACCCTTGAATCTGTTCTATTTCATAAATCGTACCTGGAAATTTCATGAACAATTGTTTTTGAATTTATAGTAACACACTGAAAAATACATGATTTTTTTTGTATTAAAAAAAAAAAGAAACTCTTCAGCCCTAATTTTGCAAGTTATTCATGTTTATTTACTATTTTGTGGGGGGGACAAGAACAAAACTGATGGTATGTAATCTTTGGTTCTAAAAAAGGAAATTTTACTATCATACTGCTGAAAAGCTTAAATGCACTGACCTGATTTGTATTATTAAGTTCAAGTGACCAACATACACTGAAATTATATAACTTAGTTAAAATGAAAGGGAAATAGTAGGATCATATGGATAAATCTCTAAGCTCACTTCATTTATTCATTCATCCACTTACCCAATTGCCACTGCCTAGCACACTGTTATGCTGTAAAAGTAATAAAGATATTGCCCATTTCCTCAGGAAGCATGCAGTTTATTCAAAGGGATCTCAACTTTCTCTGAGGATGGTAGAAATGTCAAAAAAAGAGGAGGAAGAAATGGAAACACTTTGAGGGAAGCTAATTTCCTGGCTCAAAATAATAAAACAAGGGTCTCGAAAGTGAATCAAAGAAATTCTGATGGGACAACAGGAAAACAAGGACTTTATTGACCCCTGGTTATCAACTAGAAAGGTCAATGGAATAACAGTGAATACCACCAGTTTTGTTCTTGTCCCCCTCACAAAATAGTAAATAAACATGAATAACTTGCAAAATTAGGGCTGAAGAGTTTTTTTTTTAAAAATACAAAAAAATCATGTATTTTTCAGTTTGTTACTATAAATTCAAAAACAATTGTTCATGAAATTTCCAGGTACGATTTATGAAATAGAACAGATTCAAGAAAGAACTCTTTTATTGGAAACTGTTGGTAAATATGAACAAAAGAAACTACAGTAGAATCAACAAGTGAGAAGAAGGATCCACTAAACATGCTTTCTAAATCCTGCTCCTGATTAAGGCTTTAAGACAATCCAGGTAACAATACAAAAAAATAGGTCACTGAGACTAATGTACTTGCTTGAAACAAAATAATTGTTTTTCTGTGTATTATAGTGATCACCTACCAAATGTAAACAAAAATCTGATTTCACATACAAATCACTCATTGATTAACCTGGAAAAACAAATTTTAAAAAGATACTTAGAGGGCCCTTCCTGGTGGTGCAGCGGGTTAAAGCACAACAGTAAGAAGCTTAAGCCACTTCCGCATGAGTTCGATCCCCGCCTGCCCTGGAAAAGATCCACATTGCACTTCAGAACTCTCCTGGCCCGCCCGCTGCCCCCCTCAGCAGTGTACTTCGTTGATCTGCCTGCTCTGCTCCCCAATCTGTCTCTGGTGAATCCTCTCACCCTCCGCATCTCTGGCCTGTACCCCAGTTCTGTATGAATAAATAAATAAATCTTTTTTAAAAGAAAAAAAGATACCTAGGATATCATATTGCAGTCAATTATTAGTGAGTTCAGAGTTTTAGTAAAAAGAGTCTAATTCAGAATTGTTACAAAACATGTAAAGCTGAAAAGATAGGACTATGATATTAAAAAATTAAATACAGTTTTTCTAAAACACAAATTTGTTCCTCCATGATTGGTATACTAAGCAACAATTTGATTATAGCAAGAAAATTGCGAGCAGGTGTGACTTTAGACATGGGAAACCTTAAGCAAATACAAAAAATCATACCCACCAAAACCAAGACATGTAAAAATTCTCAAAACACACATACACTATGCTTGAAACATCTATTCCATTTACCCACGTCTGGTATTACAATTTTCCTTGTAGTTCAGATGACCTCCTTCCATCACTTCACAAGAACTTACACACTGCAACACTTTCTGATGCCTACTTTCACAAGCAAACCTCAAAATACTTACGTTTATTATAATATGTATATACTTATTAATCACTAAACACATGGAAAGTGTGCTGCTGTTTTTATTATGCTCCTGCCCTTTTAAATGTCACTGGTGAAATTTTGGAGTGTTGGGCCTCCATTTCCCCTGTGGCTTCCACTGCCTGACTGCATAGTGGGTGGAGTGCATTTTAGGAATACATATATTATATTAGAGCTTAATATAATAAAAATTTCATATAAGATCAAAAATTATGTTCTAGTAAAAAGAAAAAAGGATTTACAAATGTTAGGCATGAAGATAAAACTAAAAGGTCTAAGTAAACAATTGTATTTATGTGAAATGGTAGAATAATTTAGAAAACATTTTACTGCTTATATTTTCAAACATAACTATACCCAAGTTTACACATACGTAATTAGTATCTTCAGTATTAAATCTACAGTGGAGTCATTAAGTCTAGTTCTGTAGAACACTTTTTGAATCTAAAAATTGGCTTGGGAATTTTATCCAAATCATAGGAACCCATTTACTGCTCAAGATCTTCATTATATAACTGGTGTTATGACTGAATTCTGTATCCTGCCAAATTCCTATGTCGAAATCCTAACCTAACTAGAAATCCTAACCTAGAATGTGACTGTATTTAGACACAGAGCCTTTGAAGAGGTGATTTAAGTTAAAATGAGGCCCTTATGGTAGGTACTAATTAATCTGGTTCTTATAAGAGGAAATTCAGAAATACAAAGATACCAAGAATGCTTCAGAGGAAAAAATTATGAGAGAATACAGGATGAGGGTAGTTATCCTCAACCAAGGAAGGAGGCGTTCAAAGACCCAAACTTGCTGACATCTTGATTATGGTCTTCTAGCCTCCAGAATGGTGAGAAACAATTTTCTGTTGTTTTAGCCTCCCAATCTGTGCTGGTTTGTTATGGCAGTCTTAGCAAACTAATACAATAACTGTATGTTGTTATTATCTCAATTTCTCCCCAATTTTTGTTACTATGCTTATGCACTTATAAATGTATAAACTATAAATTCATTTTAAAGAAAGTAACATCATGCTCTCAAAATGAGAAAATCTGAAAGTAAGCACAGGCTCCTGTGCATTCCTGAGAGGTTCCTTCTCATCACTTTCTTTCCCTTACTAATCCTTAAAGGCAAAAGCTACCTACTGATGGAGTCTTCATACTTTTTGGCTACTAATGTTTATCAGTTGCATATCACAGATAACTTTTTCCACTCTGAGTCTACCTTCTCACTCTTTTTCAGCATTTTTGATAACCTCAAATTCTTAATTTAAATGTAGTCTAGTTTATCAATATTTCCTTAAAGGCTATTTATATTCTATTAAGAAATCTTCCCCAGCTCTGAAATAATAATGGCATTCTCCAATATATCCTTCTAAAGGCTTTTAAGGCTTTATAGTACTGCCTTTTTCATTTAGGTTACTAATCCACCTGAAATTGCTGCTTTTTGTGCCACGAAATAGAGGAGTCTGGACTGACTTTATATGGATATACAATTGTTGCAAGATGGTTTATTTTAAAAAGTTCAGTAATCAAAGATCAAACATTCATGATGCAAAAGTGATGTGAGCACTCTACTGTTTTCTTGATTTACTTATTCCTATATCAGTGACACATTTTAGTTACTATTACTTTAATAGTAATTCTCTATACCTGTATCAAGTCATCCATCTTGTTTTAAAGAATGTCTTGGTTATTCTGGATCATTGAAATTCCCATGAATATTTTAAAGTTAGATTTTCATCTTAACAAGTAGGATAAGGCATACACACACACACACTCACAAAACATCTCCGGTAAGCCTGACAATTTTCCTCCTTAGATGTTCTCCTGTATTTTTTTTTTTGTTAGATTTAATTCAGGAACTTCCAGTTTCATGATTTTTTCTTTTTACTTTACTTGCCTAAAAGATCATGTTAGTATATTCAAACAGAATTGATTTTTGAGAAATGTTTTATAGTCATACCTCTTAAATGTTCTTAACAGTCCAAAAAAATATATTCACAAATTATTTACACAACCCTGTCACCCAAGAGTAATGATGTATTTCTTTCAGCAGTTATATCATTTCTTTGTGTTTAGTAACAGTGGTGATACTGGGCATAATGGACATTAATGCCATCTCTCCCCACATGGAGGGAGAGAAGTCAACATGTCACTAGTAAGCATGATTGAAGTGTTGTCTATTGGATTTTTGTTTCTCACTTTTGGGAAATATATCACCTGATAGAAGAAGTGTCTAGTTCTAATTCACCAAGAGTTGATAACATGACTATATCCATATGTATGATTTCTTTTTCTAGCCAATTATTGTGATGAAACACATGAACTGATCTTAACAAAAACAACCTTCTATATCTTAAGATTAGCTCAGTACAATCAAACTGGTTATATGTAATCAGTTTGCTAATAAATTGCCTGGGAGTTGTTTATCTACATTTATAATCAGACTAATCAAGGAGTTTTTCTTTCTCCTTTAATCATTGATCGGTCATATAGCCAACATATGCTATATATATATATATAATGAGTTGAGGAGTGCTCTCTCATTTTCTATTCTTTTAAAGAGCTTGTGGATGACTGGAATTATAGCTTTCCTTCATATTGGTAAAGACAGAACTCAATGGTAAAGCTGTTAATATCCTTTGCAGGGAAAGGTTAAACAAGTCACTCCTGTTATAAGATTAGTCATGTTTCAAAATTCTTTCTGAAATAATTTTCTTCTAAAGCTATACTATGCTTATGTACCAGGAAACTTAAAACAATCATATGCTACTTAATAACAAGGACATGGTCTGAGAAAAGCATCATTAGGCTATTTCATCATTTTGCAAACATCAAGGTATAATTACATAAATCTAGATGGTACAGCCTACTACACACCTAGGACATATATTATAGTCTATCAGGACTATTCCACCATTGTATATGTGGTCTGTCACAGACAGAAATGTCCTTCAGCA